ACCAAGCTCCAATAGAGCTAGGAAGCTAACTTGAATTATAATATTGACTACATCATGATAGATGTTGTACCCTTAGAATTTAGAAATTTTCCAATTATTAAAAACAAAAACTAGAAATAGTTGAAGATATTTTATTATAAATATATCATATAGCTCAGAAATAGCAGTACTTAAGATACAATAGTTCTAACCAAGATATATTAAGCAGGAGTCATATCTTCATGAGGATACAATTAATATATACCTACAATGAAATGTTTTTCATGATTGTAAGTATATTAAGAGTTTAAAGCCTTTGAGCAGTGATGTATCAGAATAAAGACTACTAGAAAGTAAGGGGAAAGGCAATTCTGCATATTATAAACTTTGCAATATTTGTAGAACTTGATTTCTAAGACTTAATAAGAAGAAAACATACTAATTAGAAAAGAACAAAATACTTAGATAGTATTAGAAATTTCTATTCAATCTATATAGTAGCAAAGTAAACAGAATATACCAGGCAATCTATATTTAAAGATATGAGTCAATAGAGCTACAAGATATATATATACTTCTTAATAAATAGCAAGAAATTGAAGTTACATATTTTCAAATACTATACTATTTTCAAACCTATAGCTTGAACTGAAAAGAGTGCAGATCTAATTTTTTTCACTTGAGATCTAGGCAATACCTATCTCTACTTGTACCCAGGCAAAAAGAACTGCTAGAATTCTACTTTTAGTTCTTGTTCTCTATCATATAATAAATAAATCATGACATATTACTGATGGGCCTCTCTAGTAGAGATTGTTTGACTAGGATTTTTTATTTTATAAATATACAAATTGAGCCAATTTCACTAACTCTTTTAAAAATAAACATGTTTGAACTAGTTGTGGAGTGGTGGTTGTCAATTTTCTTGCCTTTAAAGCTATAATGAGGGTGACCCATAACTAGGTGGTGACCCATAACACCCCCAAATACGTTACTCTTCTTCTAAAATATATGATGGGTTTGTTGCTTGGGCCGCCGGGTATGCTTCTAACCTTTGGGTATTGTTCTGAAGTTATTGTACGATACGATATCTCTTGGACTGGTTGGCCTTTCCCCTTTCCCTTTTTCCTTTTTTTTTTTTTTTTTGTTTTGGTCGATTAGTTGGTTGGTTTTGATTGATGACTCCGGGTATCCATCGAAGCTATGAGGAATAGTGATGTGGAGCAGGCCGGGGCACAGTCAACACGATAGGTATGATGTGAGTGATAGTTCCCCCGCGGCCGTAGGTGGATAATTCCATTCTTCCCCCCCTGCCGCTCGAACCTAACAGGAATAGAGAGCGAGCGGTTTCCAAGTTTGGTTTTGCTATTCTCGAAACCTTGAAGGTCGTGATTCTGCATCGCCGCTTATGATATAATGGATGGATGGATCCGGTTGTACTGTACGAAGAGCGTCCTTCCTTCCGGAAGATTGACATTCCAAAGGAACGTTACAATCATCCGAGTGAGTATTTGTGAATGGGTTGTGGCTGTGTCTCGTATTGTAGTGGGGGGGGCGGGGGAATCTTCGCCTTTTGTTTTCTGTATACGCGCTGGGGGTTCTTGGGTGAGGGGAGTGAGTGGGAGCTCAGTATGTACGATGCCGTGCAAGATTGATAGTCCATAGGTTGCTATCGGACTGGTTGTTGTTTGTTTGTTGAAAGGGATGTCGGGTAAGATATGATAGATTGATGACTTTGGGGATGCGGGACTCGGAGGGAGAAAGAGTGGACAGGGCATAGTGGTGACTTTGGTAAGATGCGTTAGATTGGGGAATAAGTGTATGTATGAGTATGGTTAGAGTGTCGTTGGGGGGTTTGAATTTCCTGAATTTCTTTTACACCGGCTTATATATTACCGTGATGGTGGTATTGGTGTCATTATTATTACACCCGGGGGTATCGAGTGTGATAGGATCTCTCTCATTGAGTTGGTCAAAGTATTGATATTTTTTTAGAAAACTTTGGTCTTCGGATGAGCCCATGGGGGGGGGGGGGGTGCAGTCTATCTGCAAGCACTGAAATTAAGGGTCTGCTTCGCAGTCCTATAGAGTCTTTGCTGTCGGTTTTCAGATGCTGGGATCACTTGCGCAATCCGACTCGTTTGTCCCTAGCGGTTGTCTGGATGATGAAAGATGAAATGACCATTTTCGTTGGAAGAGGTCTTGGTTCCGCCACCCTTCCCGCTTATGTCATATGATACCCAGAGAGAGACGGGCTATTATAGCCGCTTGGTCCGCCGGCGGGCTACGCAAAATGTTGGACAAGCCCCGAGAAAACCTGTGCTGTAAACGTAGCGTATCAGTGCACCCTATTTATAGGTATTTAATTGTACAATGCGAATTTTATCCCTGGGGGGCCAAGATACCTATATGTATCATAAATCAAAGGTTCTCTACCCTTCAGGTTTACTCAAAATAATTGGCGGGACGTGATAGTGTTTCTGGTATTCTACGACATGTTGTATAAAGTCTCAGTGCGAGCAATAGCCACCATCTTCCAGGTCGGGATCTAGCTTTGCGACAAATCTTCTCTGGTATTTTTCATCTTACCATTCTTTGGCTATCAGATGTGGCGGTTCCCATATCTCTCCTGTTGGCTTTGACTCCTACTGGAGTGCATGGTTAGCTAGTTTTCCGGGAGCTTGTCGTTGGATGAAAAGCTCTGGGTGGCTATATCCAGCATGGGCTGTATACATCGAGTTTTCGTGAGGGTTGAAGGTGCCACCCCAGTCCACCACTGCGAGGCTATTGAAGGAATCCCCACCATTCTGCTCTACGCTTTCTATGCTATCAGGATTATTTAAGATGAAGTCGTGTAAACTTAGTCTTGCAGTTGCCCCAATTTGTGTTCATCCCAACAAGATGTAACTGCTAACCCTCGACTCCGATAACGTATTAGCTTGAATAAGAGAACGATGTGCTATCATAAGTTAGTAGTGTTTATTGGGGTGGAGCCAAGCCAGACAAATGTCACAATATAACAGAAGGTTAGTGCAATATTAATTTATTCTCACAAAGCAGATTGGATTTGGGGGTATTGAAAACAGGATATTGAAAATAAAAATAAAAATGAAATGGGGGTACATTCCTTGGACTCTGCTGACTGCACTAACTTGATATCTTCTGCAATTGTCAAACATCATAGGAAATAATCACATTCTCATCTTTATCACATGGTGAGGGTTTGCCTCCCCCTTTGTCTTGGGAATAGCGAATGGCTGTGGTATCGACGTGTTAAGGGCCCACCTCAGTGATTCACCAAACGCCGTTGATGCTATAGGTATCGTGTTGTACCCGTCCGTTCCTAAAACATCCAAGTAGTTGCAGGTGGGAACAAGGTATGCAGGATTGGGTAACCTGGTGGAACGGTACGGCATGGGCCGCCGAGTATGCAGGTATTTCGGATGAAACCGTTTGGTTGGGATCATAAGGCCCATGTTTCTCAC